TATTTCGGGTGAAACGTTAAGAAAGTTGTCCATAATTTCATAATATTCCCAGGACTCTTCCTTTATAGAAATATCATACTAAGAATCATTGATAATTACTTATTATCCAGTATTTTTAATACTGAAAATAAGTAATTATCAATGATTCTTAGTATATTTCTATAAGGGTTTACCTTGACCAGTTCTGTTATTGTTATCTTTGACGGACTTATATTTTTGTTTAAGATTCTTCCACTTCGTTGAACATTATTCGTCTGTAATGTTATAACCGTATTTGTGAAAATTATTAGCTATTATTTTCCATATTTTTTGGAGAAAATTATTTTTGTTATGAATCAATGACAAATTATTTCGAATCTCTTCTATTAATAATTTGGTTGTTTGTGAGGTCCAATGAAATCTTTCTGTGATAAATAAAAAAATTATTAAAACATTTAATTTAATTTAATATAGCATAATGAAGACTGTAAAAAACAATTATTTCCAATTTTGTAACGTACTACATTTTCTTCCATTAAGTAGTCTTCACTCCTCACAGAACATTGACTGGCATTCAAGTTAATAAATGTAACGTTAATCAAGTAAGTGGTAGTTAATATTAGCATGGTAGGACTAAGACAAATTGAGATAGATGCTTAAAATGGACACATTACCTTAATAATTTATCGACCATCTTTTGTGCAATTAACAGCAATGAATGGATTCAGAACCTGCAATATTACAGATAATTCTACAAAATAAAGAAGTAAAGCAGATACGTATTAGTAGAGAATGTCATTTCTACAAATAACATATCAATCAATGTTTGATATGTTCTTTATAGTAGAAGAGAAAATGATTTGGTAATTATCCAGTTTAGCGGCCTCACCTCCGATTTCGATGAAAGTAGGCTCAATCGACGCGTTTTTGCATGCCAAATAACTTTTTCCTCTGACAAAATCGTCGCTCTCTACTGCGAAGCGAGATATTAATAGACAAAGTTGAGGACGTGTTGGGTTAGAAAATCTGTCATACCATCTATCTCTAGCTATGTAACTGGGGGGCTTCGCCCCCCAGACCCCCCTATCAGGGGGGATGGGGGCTATAGTCTCTTATGCTTAATTAAGCTAAAGAGTGAATTTCTCACAAAAGACTGTAGCCCTCATTCCCCGTGATAGGGGGTTCTGGGGGGCTAAGCCCCCCAGTTACATAGCTAAAGATAGATGGTATGACAGATTTTCTAACCCAACACGTCCTCAACTTTGTCTATTAATATCTCGCTTCGCAGTAGAGAGCGACGATTTTGTCAGAGGAAAAAGTTATTTGGCATGCAAAAACGCGTCGATTGAGCCTACTTTCATCGAAATCGGAGGTGAGGCCGCTAAACTGGATAATTACCAATGATTTTATCGGATAGTGTCAAGTAGCATACATATATTCATTTTTAGAATATATTCTTAACATAAATATTTTCATTTTAGTGACCTGCAATTTTGCAAAGGAAAGAAATTTGTAACGTTTCGTTTTTCTGCGTGCCGGATTTCGCTCGCCGGAGTCCGGATCCGTGTGAGAGGAGATGAGAGAGTGTGTGCGAGTGAGTGCGCTATTTACAACTTAGATTTATTGGAGACACCAACTACAAAGTACTATTTACACTGAAATATTTACATTTGATATGAGCAGGGGCGGATGGTAGCCGTGG